ATGTCCCATTGACTTGATTTACCATAAAGAGGGAGTCACACTTAGCTTCGACCACTTCGCCCCCAGGCTTTTAGCCAATTCGAGACCTGTAATCATGGCCTCATACTCGACCTCATTGTTAGTCAATTTCACAGTTCTAATAGATTGCCTAACTACGTTACCCGTAGGCGGCTTCAACACAATGCCAAGTCCGGACCCCTTTGCATTCGAGGCACCATCCGTAAAGAGGGTCCAGATTACTGAGAAAGTCCCCGAGGTTAACAACAATTCCTTTTCGACTTCGGGTATTAAGGCCGGCGAAAAGTCAGCCACGAAGTCTGCCAAAATTTGAGATTTGATGGATGTTCGGGGTCGATATTCGATATCGTACACGTTAATTTCTATGGCCCATTTGGCCAATCGGCCCGAGAGCTCGGGTTTTTGAATTATGTTCCTTACTGGGTAAGAAGTCACGACGTATATGGGGTGGCATTGAAAATATGGCTTTAACTTTCTGGAGGTTCTTAGCAAAGCGAGCGCCAATTTTTCTAGGTGAGGGTACCTTGTTTCGGCCTCGCTTAGAGTTCTATTAACATAATAGATAGGAAATTGCGTACCTTCCTCTTCCCGGACTAAGACTCCACTTACCGCTATTTCGGATACCACTAAGTATATGTACAACTGCTCGTCTTCCTTCGGAGTATGGAGAAAGGGTGGACTCGAAAGGTATTGTTTGAGTTCTTCCAAAGATTGCTGGCACTCCGGGGTCCATGAAAAGTTATTCTTCTTCTTCAATAATGAGAAGAACTGATGGCTCTTATAGGAGGACCTCGATATGAACCGGCCCAGGGAGACTATGCGCCCGGTTAACCTCTGAATGACCTTGAAACTGTCCACCACAGTGATATCTTCTATATCTTTGATTTTGTCAGGATTGATCTCGATCCCTCGGTTGGACACCATGAATCTAAGGAACTTTTCGGATCCGACCCCGAATGCGCATTTCTCCGCATTCAGCTTCATATTGTATTTCTTCAGTATGTTGAAGGTTTCTTGCAAATGTTTCAAATGGTTCTCTACTCACAGGGACTTAACTAACATGTCGTCAATGTAAACTTCCATTGATTTTCCTATTTGTTCTTCGAACATCCGGTTAACTAGGCGTTGATAAGTGGCACCGACATTTTTAGTCCGAACGGTATTACGTTATAATAGTAGATGCCGAATTTAGTGATAAAGGAAGTTTTTTCTTGATCTCGGAGGGAAAGGCTTTTGGACAAATTTTTTGGAATCCAGGCCTTTCAATATCGGGGGTGCTCCTGGGATTTGATCAACCCTGGAGTTATAGGTCTCCCATTTTTTGTCGTTGGCTTTGATCTTCTTTTCCCCCGATTCCCCCTGCTTTGTCAGTTCCTCAAGCATCTTTATTATTTCGGGGTTGGTCCTGGGTTCAACTTCACTAGCTTTTCTGTGGTTGGTTCATTTTTTCGGATATTTTTTCGGGATGGTTTGGGCTCAACTTTACTAGGGGCACGGCTTTGGTTCTGTAGCTGGGCTATCGCCGCTTGTTGAGCTTGTAACATTTCGAAGATCACCCGCAAATTGATCCCATCGCCTTCACCATCGTGCGTACCCCGGGCTATTGATCGGGCTCCTCCGCGAACGCTGTTCTCGGGGTCGGTAGGTAAGTTTGCGTCGATGGCCACATGTGAGTTGGCATCGATTGGGTCTGTGACCGGAACTCCGTTGGGGTCAACAGGGGGCACCTCATTGCTGGGCACTATATTGTTGTTCTCACCATGGTGGCCAGACTCAACATCAATGTTCAAGTGGGCAGATTGAGAGTTTGACATTCTTAAATTAACCTGAAATTAAAATCTGAAAGAACAAGCGTAAAACAGAGTGTGTTATGGAAATTTGTATCAAATTACCACTATTATCCTTAGCCCCACGGTGGGCGCAAAATTGTTTACCCTAAAAAATGGATAACAATTAAATTTATACGCGGTTTTAAGGATATGTGAATTAATCCAATACAAGTGATCAACGACGTTAGATTAAGCAAAATAAAGATGTTATAAATGACCAAACCAATGATAAGAGTGATTCCGAGCTCGGTTAATGGCCTAACGAGGAACCTGCCTTCGGTCCCGAGCTTGCACTTATGAAGAACTTATGAACAAAAATAAGAACTTTGAATAACTTTTAGAAACAGAGAGAATAGAAGAAAATTGCCTGGGTATGCGTGTTACAATGTGTCTAATGAATAATTAGCTTCTCCTTTATATAGTAGGGGAGTTTTACCCTAAGTACAATCCTAAGAAAGGTTAAAATCTTTCCTTTCGCTAACCACTGATTTTCTGTCGATACGGGCCGAGATTCACGCCGTGATATCCGGTTGGGCACGGACATTACAGCCCTTTGTTAGTCGTGTGCAGTTATTTGGTAATACTCTCCGAAGTCTTGGGACTCGAATCGGATCCGGAGGACGTGGTCCCGATGCCTCTGAGGGCAGGTGTTTTGCTCGAACCCCGATACGAGGGGCTCCTCGCTCTGATTCCGATTCCTTACGGTTACGTCACTACTCCATTTGCCTCACCGGGAAATCAGGGTTCTCAGTTGGCTCGGTTTTACCCGTATACAGGGATCAATCAATTTTTTTTTGTTTAAAAAATAATCCATCATATTCACGATAAAAAAAGCTATATTCTCTTTACATTCACGACGTCTTTTGTTCTAATTCTTACACCATCACAAACAATAGTCAAATATAATTTTTTTATTTTTTGAATTACTTCAATTTTCTCTTGCTTTCTGTATCTCAAAAAATTGTTTACCTAAGAACGAAGATTGTATAAGGAATCAAGCAAGAGATGATACCTTAATAGATAAATTGGACAAAGAAGCAGAAGGGAAATTACTATTTGATTGTCATCAATTCCCCTGACGATGTTAATATGATCAAGCTTGTTGTGAAGGTAATAATGGTTCTGGCTTATGGCAGGCTTAAATAGACAAATACATTCACAATATAGATGAAAACTTCCAGGCAGCAAAAGGCAGAAAATTTCTAATAGTGACGAAAATTAAACTTGCAAAAGGCCACATTCACAAGAGGCAAAATACAGGAAAAAACGAAAAGTGAAATTGAAAGAGCATACAACACTGTGATTTCACACTAATTTCTTGATCAATTCAAAGAAAAAAATCTTCTAAAGCTTCTTCCTCTTCTTCGATTCAGAAACATAAAACGTCTTAATAATACTCAAACCTAAATAATCGATTTTCCCTCATATCTGGAAAAAAATTCAATAAAATCTTGATATAATACTCAAACCTATATTTAGTTCATCTCTATCACTTTATTCTTATACATGCGAGTAACTCTTTCAGATAATTAATCAAATATGTCGTAATCACATTAAATCTACATGATATAAACTCTTGTATGCATTATTAACCAAACGAATTATAATTTTCCTAGTGCAAATATAGGGAGTGACGAAGTATCAAGTGGATAATGATGTAACATGCAGTCTACTCTATCCTACATCAATTGTACACATAAGTTGCTCTAATTGTATGAATGGAATTTAGGAGGTTAAAAAATTAAGCACAAACCTGATAACCATAAGTACTCTGAAACAATCAATAAAACCGGTCAGATGAACAAAAGGTGAATTGTAAAATAAAAAAAAAAACAATCAGGAAAAAAGAGAGGAAAGAAGTAAAAAGTAAGATACAAAATGAGCGAAAATGCAACAGAGCACGGCGGAGCCCCGGGAATAAAAATAACTTTGATAAAGCATGCATAACTTGGTTTTTGAACAACTTTCTTTTTACCATGCTTTGATGTGTCCCCATAGAGATGTATATGTACGCTGATTGAGAGCTTCAAAAAATTGGATCAATTCCCTGTTGCAAATGAATTTCGGTAGCCAATGCAACATTTAATAAGGATTGTTTTTGAGTCTGATTAATTTAGCGTAGGTTACAAACGGTATTTAAGGTGGTTTATCGTATCAACTTTCGTATAATTATTGTTTAAATTTTTTCAGTTATCACCTCTGTTTTAAAAGGCGTTTCTGGGGCGAGGCATACCAAAAACGCACCGGAGCGATGGTGTGGGCTCAAGAGGTGTACGCCCCGTAATTTGGGGCGTACGCCCGGGCGTTCGGGGCGCATTTTTTTAGTAAGGAGGAAGCCCTAGAGACTTTTTCAAATTAAAACAAAATTTATTGAATTAGTCCTTCATATAATACCTAAATTCTCAAAAGTCAGTTTGGTAATTACTCAAAAGGTTTAAAAAGGAACTCAAAAGTATTAAATTTAAAAGTAAAGACCTTTTTTATTGATTTAAGCCCTAATTCATGGTTTTCTCAATTTTTTTATCTTGTCCACTAGTCTGCTAATATCTCCCAAAAGCAACGAATATTTAATTTTTTTTACAAATAGAAAGAGAACTACATTTTTCTTCATAGCAGCAAATTCAAAGTTCAAATTGCAGGTTAATCATCCTTTTTGTTCCTCCATATAGAAAACTTTATTCTTTTAGACTCAAATTACTTGTACTTGTACGTAACGTATAATAGATTGTTTTGATTAGTTTTGTGTGGGGATGGAGCACACATATATATAGTTTTCTTCAATTTTTATGCAATTTTACCTGTTTATAAATATTAACTGTCATTATATTATTTTATAAACTATTAAAAATTAAATACCTATGGCGCTTACGGAACTCCCGCCTCGGGACTTACACCCTGCTGAAACATATGTAAAACGCCCAACCTTACGCTCACACCTTTTAAAACACTACTTATCACATTAATTGAACGAAAATACTTAATTAAAAAGAAATTATAGGGTAAAAAGTGGGCCCCTAAAGTTGGGGGCCTAAATCTTGGGCTTCAAAGGCTTTACCCAAAAGCCGGCCCTGGCCCCAACAACAAAAGAAAGTCTGGCTTTTAAGGGTATTAATGTCATTGCATATATTCTAATCCTAAATTATCTGCAAGTGAACACGTTACATGCAGCAACAGTCAACACCATTGTTTGTTGTCTCTTCGGCTGGCTCTTTAGCCGCCATGGCAGCAACGCCGCTTGAGTCTCTTTGAATCTTAAATATCTTTCGTTTCACTCCTTCATCTATGTTACGACTTTAAAACAGTACTTTTTCCTTAAGCAACATCATATTCATTTTCCACTCCTCCCATTTGGTTGACGAGAAATTGTAAATGAATTCTAGTTCAACCGTTCATCATCCCGTTCTTTGAGCAGTTACTTTCCTATTTCTGGTGTTTTTTCAAGCGGATATATGGCTACTATTAATGAGATTGCATGTTTTACCTACCTCGGGATAACTAACGCTGTTTCTCCTAGACGACGTCGTTTGGTTGTTCCTCAGACTTGGTTGAAATTGAGGAGTCAATCATGTTCAAAGGTTCTGGGTGCAGATTGTAGTCAGAACCCTAGTTTTGTTACTCCGAGGAGGAATAAAATCTGGGAATTTAGATTGTATAATTCTGTTGAATTGGATAGGTTTGTGACAAGCGACGATGAGAATGAGATGAGTGAAGGTTTTTTCGAGGCAATTGAGGAATTAGAACGAATGACAAGAGAACCGTCAGATGTTCTTGAGGAAATGAATGAGAGGTTATCGGATAGAGAGTTGCAGTTGGTGTTGGTGTACTTTGCGCAAGAAGGGAGGGACTCATGGTGTGCTTTGGAGGTGTTTGAGTGGCTAAGGAAAGAGAATAGAGTCGATAAGGAGACAATGGAGCTGATGGTTTCAATAATGTGTGGATGGGTGCAGAAGTTGATTGGGGCGAAGAGTGAAGCCAGGGATGTAGTGGACTTGCTGGTGGATATGGACTGTGTAGGGTTAAACCCCAAATTTAGTATGGTTGAGAAGGTTATTTCTTTGTATTGGGACGCAGGTGAGAGGGAGGGAGCTGTGTCTTTTGTGAAGGAAGTGTTGAGGAGGCAGATTGCATACTCACATGGCAATGGAGATGGTCATAAGGCTGGTCCCACTGGTTATCTTGCCTGGAAAATGATGGTAATTCTTATATACTCATTGAGTTTAATGCTAAGCACTTGTTAGCAGTAAATATTTGGTGTATTTCTCCCATTAAAAAGGTGATGTCATAGAGTCCTGGCTTTGACTCTTGATTAAAAGAAAAAAGAGTCCTGCCTTTGACTATCTTGTATTCTTTTCTAGTCCTTCAGTTTGGTCATGTTAATGTCATGCTATCTTATGCTTAGTGACAAGTACTTATCTCCAGTTACAATCAAATCCAGCTTAGGATTTCTCTTCCTAGCTGTGTAATATGGTATTGGAATGAAACAAATAACCCCCATGATATTAATAGGACAGTTTCGTATGTATTCATTCTATCGTCGTGCATCCTTATTGTGAGAAACATGTGTGCCTTGTTGTGCCACTTGAAATAAGATTACCTGTGGAATGTTTGTTGGCAAAATTTTTGAGTCACTCTGATTGGATGGGTTGTGGCAGCCAAATTCATGAATTATGATTTCCAAATAAAGTTTGACGATTAATGTTGACGGGGGACTCTACTTTTTTGCTACGGGATCAAGGGTCACTTCGCTGGAAGTCCAGTAACAGCCTATGGCCACTGGTAGTTGAACCCAATAGGAGATTTACTGTGAAGCTTGCCTTACACAAATTTCACATCGAAATGGGAAAAGAAAGTTAGTACCATATAAAGGCGAGTGCATGGTTCTAATTGTTGAAGTGCTTTTGGGTTAAAGCTTAAGAGAACAAAGTCGTGAGGCATAATTGTTGGGCCAGAGTGGACAATATTTTAGCAGTTAGGCTAGACCATGACAAGTGGTATCATTGCCGGTACCTCCTCTAATATGGTGGTGGGGCAAACTCAGCACGACGTTGAGTAACATCTATGAAGTGCTGGCGGTTGAATTCTCTGTCAAGCTTGCCTTAGGCGAATTCCACGTCAAACTGGGAGGAAAAGTTGGGGACCATGTAATGGCAAGTACAAGAACCCAACCATTAAGGCGCTTTTTGGGTTAAAGCTCAAAGAGGAAAAAACATGAGGCCCCAAAGGTTGGGCTAGAGCGGACAATACTTTGCAGTTGGGCCTGGGTTGTGATAGGTCCTAATGCTGAAAGATCAAAATTGTTGCACTAGGGCAAGTGTGGTTGTATTTAGGAACTAGGTTGCAAGAATTTAAAACAAAAGAATATAACAGAAGCTGTAAATGCTTGTAGTGATAAAAAAATAACTACAAATGTTTGGAGTTAACGAGATCTTGATAAAGAAATTGAAAAGAAATGAATTATTCGACAGGTTATTGTTGTATATGTGTTATTAATGGATGATAGATGAAGGATGTTGTATGATCTCCATCATATATACAAAAGGTTGCGGCGTTTATGGGTTCGTACCACCTTCATGTTGTGATCTAGATTGTACATTTCAGTGCTGTAACAGTAACAGTTTTATGCTCGCTTGGTTTTCTCCTCTTTATACCTTAGCTTTCTTATTCTCATATTCAGTTGACATATCTGATCTTGTACGGAAAGACAATTACTTGTCCGATCAATGTGAGATAAACAAACCTTTACCGGTGGGTCAGATACGATAATCCGTTTTACCCACTTTCTGAGATGGATGTTGGGATTAGTCCATATAGACAACTTGCTATAAATGATGTTGATCCCCTAGTATTTTTTTGGGCAATATTGGGCCAATTCATTCTCCATCAAAATATATGCCGATCCGAGTTTTCGTCCGTCAGTGCCAAGGGAGCATGAAGCAAGTAGGATCAATGATATCCAAAGATATGGGGTACGTTTGTCGAATTCAATGCCAGGTACTATTGTACTAGTAGTGCGGAAAGGGCTTCGAATGCCAATTGTGCAAACTCATCTAAAAAAAGCTCAAGAAGACTCGATCGGTGCGTTTTCAAGAACCAAATATGGACGTGTTACCTAAGACTGTTGTTCACTCACAGAATGTATTAGTAAAAGAGTATCAAAACCTAGGGAATTATCCATAATGTCCTCTGACACAACAAGAATGTGGGACTCTATTGATGAAATTTTGAAAGTGAGCTTGCATAGGTGCTCTATGAAAAAATAAGTACATGTTTAATGACATTGTTCTTGTGTATTGGTGTGCTTTTCAGAACATATGTGCCCCTGGTCATAGAATCGGGGAAGGATCCAATTGATGTGCTTTTTTGAACATATGTGCCCTGATTTCTTGATCCAACCTATCTTGATAGTAAGAACCATGCATTATTTTGTTATTCATATCATAAGACCGTGTCAAGACGAAACTATATACACAGCAAAAAGCTATGGAAGATGAAATCATGAATGCTTAGTATGTATTTAATAATCTTTAGATGAAATAAACTAGGATTATTTCACCAATTATTATGAGCCATACAAGTTGTATCCTTAAAACTTACTTAAAACATTTATTTTTATCACAAAAAATGATGCATGTTACATATTAATTTAGTTCACTCGAAGAACTTGATGAAAATAAAAATAGTAGATGTTTGGTTGAATATTTTTGTACCAAATTAATTTTTTGGCTTTGATACGATCTAAACCAAATTAAAAAACCCTCAAAACCTTAAACCTTAAATACTTTTTCAGTCAAAATAGATAGCCCCGCCGACACTTTTGTCAATACCACATGCAATGTAGCTAGCAATATTACAGTGAATGAATGAAAATCTACCAAAAATCTGAAATCCGAGACCAGATAGAGCGATGCTTAATTTGCCAATTATCTAAATATTTTTTATAGCACTCAATCCAATTCTTCTCAGCTACTCCTCCTTTTCTATTTAGATAATTGATGAAATAAGAGGGATCTCCAACTGAATAGTGTTTAGGGTTTGAGGGTTTTTTTTGTGGGGGGGGGGGGGGG